GTTTCAGTCCTACTACGCTAGAAGTAGGACGCATGAGAGAGAAATCCTGGACGACACTTGGAACTGTCTAAGGCAGAAGCATGGAGAGACTCTTGTCGACTACTGGGGAAGGGCGAATACTGTGTGGATGCAATTACAGTCTTGTGGGGACAATCGAGAGGAGACGTTAATGTCGAGACACATTGCGCGTGGCTTGCTCCCAATGTACGACGATGTCAAAGACCGTATTCTGTTCCACCCCATGCTTTCGAGAGGTACTCTGGAAGAGACGCTGAGGCTGGCCGAGCACGAGCAGAGGATCAAACGGAGGTCTGGAGAGGGGATCGAGGACACGAGGCATGCGCCCGTCGCTGCCGGTGTGGGCCGGGGCGGCGGCATGAGGACAGCAGCTGCTGCGGGAGCGGATGGCGGGCGATCTCATGAGCAGAGAGGTGCCTTCTTCTGTCAGGTTCACGGAGCGAACTCCTCTCACAACACCCCGGACTGCCATAAACTTCGCCAGGACTTCTTGTTCCACTACAACGACTTCATGGCGTTCATTCGCGAGAGGGACAGTATGCGGGGACCAGGTTTTTCTCAGGCCCGGGGGCAAGACTCGGGGCGCTTGTCGGGCGGATCATATCGAGAGCAGCTGCACCAACTGGACCATGGGGCAAGCTAGGGTCGGGGCCGCCCGTTCTGTCCGACTTGTGCAGGGCCCGACGCTTGCCAGCCGCGAGTCTTCAACGAGGCCTTCCGCACCCCTAATCTGCCGGCGACACCGCAACAGCAACAGCAGCAGCAGCAGCAGCAGACATCAGCGCACCCTCAACGACCTCTGCCTCCTCGACGGCGATCCCCTCTTCACCTCCGGGCGACATTCCTCCAGTTAGTGGCGCCCGTCTTCGTCTCTTCCACACAAATACTTCGAAGTAGTGTGGAACCTCTAGGCGAGTCTGATTCTCTGACTGGAAATGAGATTGGAGTTGTTAGTGATGGGGAGTTGTCTGGTGTTCCCGTTGCTGGTATGTCTGTGCTTGATGTTCCTGTTGTTCCTGTAGTGAATCCTGCTGTAACCTCTCAAGCTCCGGTATCCCACACTAGGATGCCAACACCCAAAGGTGGTGAGCAGTTGCAGGGAGACTCGGGGACGAGTGCGGGGATATTTCATGCGAGGGAAGGAGTTGCGTTTGAGTATGATGTGGCTGTGTTGGGTCGTGCCGAACAAATGGATGTTGACGTTTTCCACCACCGCGCTGGCCACTTTCCCGAACCCATTTTGAGTATGACTGCCGAGCAACAAGGGAACACCCTTCCCAGGGAGTTGGAACCCGGGAACACTGCCGCTTCGCCGCCCTCTGCCAACGCTGCCACTTGGCCTGCCGTCGCCGCCGCCACGGCGGGGACCATCACCGCTTCGCCGCCCGCTGCTGCCGCTGTACCGTGGGGACCCGCCACTGCCGACGCTACGTCATCGTCGCCGTCGCACACCGCTGGTGGCGCACCATGGAATGCAGCCGCCGCCACCGACGCACCGTCGCCGCTGCCGCCAACCTCCGGGACCGCGTTACCCGCCACTGTCACCGCGGCCGCGCCGTCGCCGCGGCCGCCGACCTCCGGGGCGCCGTGCCGCTTGTGCCTTCGCCAGGTGCCACCGCGCTGCCGCGCCCGAGGACGACCGCGACGAGGACCACCGACGGCGCCGCCGCCGCTTCGTCATCGCCGCAGCATACCACCGCAGGTGGGACCCGAATTCATCCAGCCGCCCCTGTCGTCCCCGCGTCGTCGCCGACATTACCTTACTCAGGGCATGCTTCGCCACAGGCGGACTAGTTGTCTTCTATTGAGGCCGCTGCTTCATTTTCGACGGCGCGTGATGCACGGCAAGCCGATGGTTAGGCATGGGTTGGTGGGGGCCGGTGAGCTGGGGGGCGGCGAGCAGGGGGGCGATGGAGGACAATACGGTTGGGGGGGAGACGTGAAGGCGATCAAGAGCAAATAGGTGGGGGTCGATACCGGTGGAAATGATGAGTGGAGAATGAGTGGTCGGTCGACCCCGCGTGGCACGGCTTGTATCGCCGGGTCTGCTCTTTGTCATGTGCGGTTCGTGTTTCGTTTTGTTTTTGTTTGCCTTTCTTTCTAGCAGCGAGATTTCTTCTTTCAATTGTTGCTGTTCTTAAATCTAAAATCATGGGGGGGGTGTCATGTGTGACCATGATTCGAGATGGCATGAACAGCAATCGAGTTGTTTCTGTTTTCATATGAATACCTGCTTAGCAAACGGACTGTTGACGTATTGATAATAACGGAGTGTTCTTTCATGGACTCTGGAAATATCAGAGGTGTGTTTTGGGATGTGACAGAAGAGAGGCTGGTTGCATGGTTGTTTGATTTTCTACCATTGAACAGCAACGGTGACACCGGTTTGCTTGTACGCGCTGCGTAGTAATTGGTCCTTGGAAACTGTAGTGGAGGAATAATTTGGCATGTTTTGATTGATGAGTACGTGTTGAATTGTCTTCGTGTGGCATTTTACTTGGTAGAAGGCTTTACGTTATCTCCTGTGTATTTGACGCGCCTTTCCATGTACCATCGGTCAGGGATACACCCGTTCTCTCTGTTTTCGATGCTGTCGGCAATTATCATGGGGAGGGAGAATAGGTTGTGTCATGACAATTGCCACAGCATCACGAACAAATGAATGCTTTGTTTTTTTTTACTCTGCCCGATTTGCAAAGTTCATGATTTGATTGCGTGAATGGCAATGCAAGTTTTTATGCGGTTATATTTGGTGTGCTTTCCGTACTCAAATGTCACAGGATGCGTTTGTCAAGTAGAGGGTTGATCCCTTGCCGTCTGGTGTCCGGAGCAGGGGGGCCGTAATCAGACTGCATTGGTAGGGTTTGCAGGAAGGAAATCTATTGCTCTGTTGTCGAAGGATGTACGAAGTGTTTGTCAAGTAGAGGGTTAATCGCTTAACGTCTGGTGTTCGGAGTAGGGGGGGCGTAGCCAGACACGTATTTGTAGGGTATGCAGGAAGGAAAATTGTTGTTCTGTTGGAAATTGAAGAGATGTTANGTAGAGGGTTAATCGCTTAACGTCTGGTGTTCGGAGTAGGGGGGGCGTAGCCAGACACGTATTTGTAGGGTATGCAGGAAGGAAAATTGTTGTTCTGTTGGAAATTGAAGAGATGTTATTCACAGAATGTGGCGTCTTGCAGCAGCGGAGGTGGCGGTGCCGCTGTAGCTCGTAGACTTTGTAGTCTACCACAGAGGTTACACTGCTGTCACCGTTCTATCACAGAGAGAGGTTGGTCTACACTGCTGTGAGATTGGTAGGCCCGAGCGAGCTCTGGAAAGAGAAATGTAGATAGATTTTCTGATCAACTGACTCCCTGGTCAGGCTTTGATGGGTGCTAGATGAGAGTGAGCACAAGGGGCGAAGGCGCGCTTGTGTCTCATCTCAACAACAAAACAAAAACAAGAAACAAGCAGCAAAAACACAGCAGGTTCCGAGGGTCTCCGGAGTAATGGCCCGAGTACCGGAATTTCGGGGTTCGGAACAATAAAACAACTACAGTCTCGCCTGCCAAATTATCTCCGCTACAACTCTGTGCTCATGTTCTCTGCTGAGTACCATCTCTTCTTTCTGTGTTATGTCTACGGAAGGCTAGTTGCCGCAGTCGCACCTATGGTAAACTGTGCCTGACTACGTTGGAACAGTTTTCCTCGACACGACCCCTCGATTAGGCGAGTAGTCGATGTTCCAAAACTTCACTTCGCTGCCATTTCTGGGACCCCTCGATTCCCAATCCATATCAGACAATATCGACCTCCACGTGAGTGAATCCATCCTGTGAGCAATACACGCGTCCAAAACAATCAACCATACTATGCGATTTTGTGCTTAATAACATTCTAGCATTTGTAGTTCTTGATGAGTTGCATGATGGTGGCGAATCGCTGCTTCGGGAGATGTTTCGTCGCGATGTCCGCCAAGATCGTGGCACCAGGTTGGTGGTGAAGTGTGATGCGGTGCCCCTTCGTGAGTTCCCTGAGGAAGAAGAACTGGAGCGCGATGTGCTTGGTTCTAGAGCTGAACATCGCGTGCTGGCCACAGTCACATGCTCCGGTGCTGTCGCTGTTGATGGGTACCGATCGAAAGGTCTTGAATCCGATTTCCGTCATGAAGTTGGAGATGTAGACTGCCTCGCGAGCACTGAAGCTCAGCGCTTGAAGTTCGGCCTCCACGGTGTTCTGTGCTGCGAGAGTCTGTGCCTTGGCTCCGTAGCTGATCAGTCCCCCTCCTAGGAAGAACAGGTATCCGGTGGTAGACCTGCCGTTGTCTGGGTTGGCTCCAAATGACGAGTCAGTGAAGCACGAGAGTCTGAACTGCCCCTTCTTGTACACGATCGGCAGGTCCGGCGTTCCGCGTAGGTACCGTAGTAGGTGCTTGGCCGCAGCCATGTGGACCTGTGCTGGGTTTGCGCATGCCCGTGTCAGTTGGTGCACTGCGTATGACAGATCGTAGCGGGTGCATTGGGCCAAGTACAGGAGACTCCCGGTGATGGTCTGGAATCTCTGCTTGTCCTCGGGTCCGAGTAGTCGGTCTTGTGGCTGCTCGGTTGATAGTTCTGCTCCATACCCGGGGGTGCTGACCGGGTTTGCCTGTTCCATTCC